CCTCACACGCAACCTAAATTACACAACTTCTTTTCGTATCTATTGACCGTATATTTCGTTCGTCAGTTCTCAATCCCGGTTACTTGAAACGCGGTGACGTGTGCAAAAAATGTTATCATTCCAGGTTGATTATCTTATTTATTTGATATTCATTCTGTAGTTATCTGTGCGACTGTTGCCTTGGCTTATGAGGTTTTCGGTATTTAGTCGTCGTGTGATTGACAGTCCTTCCAGATTCTCCTGACCATTTGCTCGGTTTTCTTTTCTGTCCATCACGTGGTTGCGTTTACACGTTTTATGTTTCATGTATTTTGGGGTCGTGTCCGAGACCAATACACATACCACTGTCATTCCTTTCTTTTACCGCTCCGCCTGTCCACATCTTGATTACCATCACTAGAGCATGCTGTCTCACGTTCCACCAGACCTGGCGTGGGACACGAAACGAGTTGGCATTTTGAAGATGACATTCGTTCCCCGTCCCCCGGGAGACCATTCGGATCGACCGGACGGTTTCTGCCTCACGCTTCGTATATGCGTGAGTCCGCTTATTCTGGTTCCGCCCGAGACAAATGAGAAGTTTGAATGGGTCGATATCGCACGCTTGAAGGGTGACGTAGCCAACACGTCGCGGAATGATGATAGTGATGGTATTCCGATCTCTCTGCTCCAACTTCCTTTCAATACGGATCTGTTACCGATTTATCGACTCTAGTCTTTCGGTCAACCTCGTCCAGCTGTGGGGCTTATATGCGCCAAGTGAACAGATGTTAATGATTACTGCCGTTAAACTCAATTGCGTTTGTTTTTCTTCTATGATCTCTTTTTGTAGTCCCTCAGTTGCGCCCGGATTTACTAGCTCCCTCCGTGACCCGATTCTATGAGCTTGTCTAGAAAAAAAGTGATAACAGATCCCAGTTCCTGCATCGCGTTACTAATCTGTATTTATTCTTGTTTTTTTTAATCTGTGATCCACCCTCCACCCCCGCACCTCTCGTTCTATGCACAAATCTCTTTACCGTCAATGTCATTTTAGTTCTGGTTGCACCCATGCATGCATAAATGACCTTGGTAAATTGTTGATACAGGTTCTCGTTCATTTGGGGGAGCAAATTACATTCACCGGGATTTCTCCTGTACCCGTTTAACCGAGTGCCCTACCTGTTTCGATCATCATCATCATCATCATCATCATCATCATCATCACGGACTTTAACGGCAATTGTGAACCAACAATCTCCGACCGATCGGGGATAGGGGTGGGGTCTGGAGTGACGGAAGAGTAAACTAGCCCCTTAATAAATGACTGACATTTGTTTGTCACTTTTCCGCCAGTCCAGTTTACCCTCCTCTTTGCACAGTGGATGAAGGGGAAAGGAGAAAAAACACTATAGTCTGTGTGCGATGTGACCGGGTCTAGCAGGTTAATGACACGCGTGGTACAGGCCTGTCCACGTGTGCGGAGTCTCATATTGTGTCACATGTGATTAGATGGTACACCTGAAACCACTACTACAACTATCCCGGTTGGGGGTAGTGATAAATGGATGAGAATTTGAGTTCTGTGACCATCAGTGCTCTGGGTGAAAGGTATGTGAACGATTAAGTGACTGCTGATTGTCCCATCTCACTCTTTATGTGTTTAACTGTATGAACAGTGTCTCTCTCCCACACACACGCAGCCCGAGTTACATTGGAAGGGCTAGACGTGACGTCCCACTCGAGCGGCCGCGACAGAAATCAAGCGGACATCTCGGTTGAGGGCGCAGGCATATACTCCCGCCAGTAATGTTATATGTGTGTGTGACCGTGGATCGGATTGTGTACGTCTGACAGGGAACACCGAATCACCCACCGGTCAGATATTCATGTTGAACAATGAACAAAAAAGATTCTAAGTTTGAAATATTTATAAAAAAGACACCAATCTTTCACCCTTTAATTTCAACTAGTTTAAAATCAGGCAAATACGGATCACATGAAGTATTATGGTTTAACAAAGTATTGGGAATTGGTTATCGTAACAGTTCACTTGGGTTGGCTATATTCCTTTACCCATTTTGTCTATTTTGCAAATCAGTTGCTTCAGCGCATATCGAATGAAGGCCCAGCTTCCGATTGGGTTTCCGTCGATTTCGGAAACTTCTTAGTTGACTTCGAATGAGCGATTTAAGTGTTGTACCTAAATGGGAAAGCTTGGCGGGTTTAGAACTCACAGCGTCCGTTAAGCAAAGCTCGGATTGCAGTGTTTCCGCAATTAGTTATTTCTCTGTGACGCTCAGTTTTGCATTGCTGTTCTGAAACTGGGAATCTGTATACTATTAAGTCTAGGTAACCTTCCTAGAAATCCGTATTTCAGATGACCGCCATTTACGGTGAATCAGTCTAGTGAATGATATCATTATCAGCAGCATATTCTGATTAGTTACTAATTTACATTTGAAAATGGGAACTTGTTTTGAGGTAAAAACAACGCTTCGATACGAAGCATCAGAGATCGGGCTGTAGACTGAATAAAAATTTGATAAAGGCAGTCTTGGAGTTGGCGGGAACTGCCACGAACAGTGAGTTCGCGGGTACCCAGTTACCATGTCATCAGCTTATTTGAGCACCATAATGCTGTGCAGATGCTAAGTTTATTCAAGTACGGGGGAAAAAAAGTAGGGACAGTGTTACATTCTGGGAAACACTAAACAGCTGGTTGGATCTCATCAGCGTAACCATGGAGTCTAATGCTGAGATGATCGAGGACTGATACCCGCAAGAAGCTCGCATAGATGGGTTGTGCTGTATCTTGTAAATTCAAAATGCGAAACAGTCTGATCCGGTGGCCGAGTGGGTATTATGCTTGCGTTCCACCTGTGAGGTCCCGTGTTCGATTCCCAGTTGATGAATTCGCCCTGTTAATGAGACCCAACCAGGTCAAAACAGCTGTTCAACGCTTTTCAGCTCACGAAGAATTCGTCTTATAAATAATGTAAAAGAATTAAACGACTGGTATTCGTACCGTTTGTCTAAGAAAAAATCTGCAAAGTGAATAATGTCGGCAGCAGCACCCAGAGTCATGAAGTAGAGGGAGTCATACCCTTCGAAAATGCAGTACTGTAGAACTAAAAGCAATCGGTCGGTAGTCTGGATAACCTATCTTGAGATGGGTGTTATTCGTTCAGGTTATGCAGTAATCAGGGATCCTTCTGTGATACCAGTTTACCCCTCATTTTCGGGAGGCCAAACACGATACTTGATGACAACATAGCGTGAGCCTTGGGGTGCAGAAAATAGCGTCGATGTCTGAGATCTTGAAGGGGAGAGCCGGTTTAAACGAGCATTCCATCAAGGTATGCATAATTTCGTTGGGGAAGATATAAGAAAGTGATTACGATCACTAGTAGCAATGCACAAACACCTATCTAAACTTGTCTCAAAGCCGTATGACATAAGAATCGTTATATAGATCAGAGTCAAATCAGTCGGGTTCAATGTGAATATCAGTTAATATAATGCTATGCTGACCATGACTGAGGAAACGGGGCCTAAAAGATAAACGACTCAATTTTCCGCAATCTCATAATCCTCGATTTCTTGCAAAAATTGTCCCGCACGGGAGCAGCATTTCCTATCCACGCCATATACCCGCAATGCATTGAAAACAGTTGTGATATTCAATCGAGGATTTTGTCATTACCGCCAACGCGTTACTCCCTCTCCATATCACAACAGCTGTCAAATTGCTTGACAATGCTGTCTGATTCTGAACCCAGACAGACTGCGAATTATTTGTTCCCGCCACGTTGCTGTTAACCGACGAGTCATTCTCACCACTTTGACTCCAACTGGGGTAGATCGGATCTCCGAATTATGGGACAGCGTTGGAGAAGGGATGGTATGCAATGACTCCTCAATTCGCACTGCTGCGGCCGACCAGTCGTCTATGTTCCCTCCATATTCGAAACGGTGCTGCCTATTTTTACCATCAATTAAACTGTTTTCAGGAATTACGGTCTTATCGTTAAGTACCTAGCAATAATAGTTTATGCTTCACTTTATTCTTCGGGAATTGATTGCAGATACCCTTCTGAACAAGCGGATCTGGATGACAATTTCGGTTGGAGCATTCCAAGAATGGGTATTTGAGGGTAATTTTACGTTCGATGTTGATTTTCAGTGAGACTCTCATCCCAAAAATAGACAACACATCTTCAAAGCACTTTAGTTTCATTTATCTTTCGTCCCACCTGGAGACCTTGTGTCGGTAGCTCGTATCTCAAATCAGTCAACTACTTATAAAGCTACCGATTATTTACAGTGTCGGTAATAACGATGAAAGAAATACTGTCAAAATCGTTGCTTGAAATTTGTAAAATTACGTCTATTTCGTCCAGACACCACCCACCCAACTACTTGTATTGTTCCGGCGCCAGCGGTGCCCGTTGAACAGGTTCTGGAAACAGTTCAAAAGCCAAGTGTGCATTTCCCGAACGCTGCCGTTGCCATTCCCTTGTTGTGAGACAGTCCAAAGTAAGTGAATTCCCGGACGAATAAGTTTTTCGATATCGTATAGGCAGACCAGCACGCATTACTAAAATCCAGCCTTCCGTAAATGAAATGTAGAAGGAATTGAACAAAAAATCAGAGTTAAAATACTGCCACATTTTGTTTATGATCTGCGGCTGTAGATCAATCTCCCAGTCTCTTCACTAATCCCCCCCAACCGAAGTCTACTTCCTCAGTATAACGAAAGTAGCATAAGTAAATTATTTGGCTCTCACTTTGCGAAGATTTAACGATGGACGATTTCCGAAGGATTGTGTTGGATATCTAGACGATAGTAGGCAACAGCACGACTATTCTATCATCCGGCCGTATTATTATTATTATTGCATTCTACGCTTCACCCCCTGTCAGCCAAAATCTCACTTCCCCAAAACCGGTTTTTGAGTCTTCGTAAACCCTTTTGTACTACTGGTCAATTACTAGGTGAAGTCGAAGCACGGATGTCATCTCCTAAGGATTACCAAATTTTGCTATAAATCGTGTGACTGGGTTCGCAGACGCGTTTTTTCTGCGTTAGCGCGATTTTCCCAGCAGTGTCCAGTAAGCTGGCTGCCTCCCTACATGTTTAGTTCAGCGTATCACTCACCGTGCCTCGTTGTTTTACTCGCATCCGCTATTTCTGTTAACACAATGCATGAATAAGAGTGATTCGAACAACCGAGTTGGGCAAAAAGACCATTATTAGCATGCGGGATTTGTTCTGCATCCGCACCGTCACTTTGTGCGGAGTCATGAGAAAATTTATGCGGTATGCGGTAACGAGATAGATCAAAATGAGAAACATACACATATTCCACCCACCTCTCCATTACTCAATCACACCCGGTATTTATGGCCTACCAAGAGCACACACAAAGAACTAGTTTCATTCGTCTAATCTTCTTTTTTTCAGGTGAAAATCTTTATATCATTCGTACATCACTTGGTTCACCGAGCTATTTCTGTATGTAGACAAGAGTGCTATTTTCTGTGCATTGTCTGGAACAATCAGTGCCATTTTTTTGTCCCCTCGATTTGTCTATTCTTCTCCTTCTTCCTCCTACTCGATGTTTCCAAAATGGTAAAGTGCTTGTTTGATATCGAATCCCTAGTAGCTAATATTCCATCGAGAGAGAGAGAGGATTAATATTATTCACGAGTATTGCTTTTTCATCCGACTAC